TAAAAGAGACAGATGCTAGAAGTTAAAGGACTTTTTTAGAAGATACGTTGTAGATGCCTTGTCCTCAGAGAGGCAGTGGTAAATGCAGTCATGACAACAGAGGACATCACAGTAAGAGAAAACAACAGCTGCCAATCCATCCAAAACTAGGAAAATCGAATACCAACTGAATAACACAGATGGTAAATGATTTCATTCAGCACAGATTTACTTGTCTCAGACTGTACGTTTTATCTTCTGAGGAAAGTTTAGAGGTTACCCCCCAAACCCGTAACTAGACATTAAGGCAGCTATTAATGGAGCAGGACCTCCACAGTAAAGAGGTAACAGTCCTCGAAACTGTTGTGGACAACTGGAAATCCAACATAATAAAAACCTGCTGCTAAAAAGGCTCGTGGCTAGGAAAAAAAGCAACTAAAAAAAACCAACACGATCAGATACAGGTTAAATCTCCAGTCTCACAGCAGCACAACACATCCAATCACTCAAATTCACTATTTTTTAAAAACAATTTAAAAAAATAACAGTATTAAGATTGGTTTAATCAGATAGGGTTTTTTTTTTTAATTTTTATTTTTATGAGACAAGATGTAAAACTTCTACACAGTACACAGCCAGCTGGCAGCAGGCAGGGCCAGGCTCCGCACGCTTTGGAACGCACTGTGCTGCAACTGCATCAGCATTCAGCAGTTGCAAAATATTGAAATAAAATAAGGTTAAAAGACCCCAATGCAATTGGAGGACTAGTCTAACAGGTCACAGCCTAAAACCTATGGTCATACATTCTCCTGTGTTAAGAGCAAGTGGATCACAACCTCACAGTCCTCCCCCTAGTTTGGTCTTATCCAAGATTAATGATTCTGATTTTCAAACTGAAGCAGCCCCTGGGCTGTTCCAACACTCTTCTCACTGCGATCCATCGGTGACAGCACAGAAGGCTTTTTAGCTGGGCAGTCTGAACCAGGGGAACTCTCGTTGAGCAAATATACATTTCCTTTCTAAGTATACAATGACTAACAGCCATTCATTTTTTATTAAAAGAGTGCACAGTCATTAGCAGGTAAGAAAAGAGGGGGGGGAGGGGGAAAAAAAAAAAAATCACATCCAGAAATCAAAGTAATTCCAGAAGCTGGGATTCTCAGTCATTGGAATAGTTCAAAGTATTTTCAGTATGCAAAAACCCGGCAACTCCTAAACCAAAACAGACCCCCAAACAAATACACAACACCACACACCCCACACCCAAGGACCTGCACAAGACTGATTATTTGAAATGATTAAGTTAGAAAAGCACACACAAGTAAACAAGGAATGCTGTCCTTATTCAGAGTGTAGCGAGCTATTACAGAATGCCATCTGTTCCTCTCAGGACATCTCAACAGATCATAATACCTGAAGGGAAAAAATCTTGACATACAGGTCTGTAGTGCTACTCTATGCAAGGATATTTCCCTGAAGAGCAAAAGTTTTCATTTGAGCTCATACAAAAGATGACCAAATCTCCTACTGATACTGTCCTTGGGAGGAAAACAAAAACCACAACCGAACACAAAACAAGCAAAAGCATTCCCTGTGATCCTGCTGTAGGAAGAAAACAGTCTGCCAAGTACAACCCAACTCTGCTTCTCTTGGGCTGTCCTTCACATCCCATTCTTCCTACTTGCACCAAGAAGAGGGCTGTGCAGGTAGTTCATGCCTCTGCCTTATTGCTCACACAGCACCATGATGCTGCATAACAGATCAGTGGGCTCAGACCCCACAAAACAGCAGCACGGAGGGCAATCCGTGGCCCTGTGCTTACTCAGCAGGACTAATTGCAAAATTCCACAGCTGGGTTCCTGCACACAGCTGTTCTACCACAGCTTTGGAGACCTCCCTGCCAGACAACTCAATCACCGTTACTTTGTTGATACCACTGCAATAGCTCTTATGCTGCATATACACCATTAGGACACAAACGCAGCCCAGACCTGTCACAAATGCATCACACCAAGTGGTACTGGAAGTTACTGAGCGTTACAAACACTGCTTTGTGCTTACGCTTTGCACTAGTACTGCACAAACCTCACCCAGAGAGCTACCATAAGCCATACACTGAACAGCAACGTAGTTTAACGTATCGCATTTGGAAATGTAAATCACGTGTACCATTCCTCGATATTAACAATACTTCCAATCAACTTTTGTTTACTCAGCTGCTTTTCTCAAGCAGAGCTGGCTGTGCCTGTGCTGTTATGCAACCTGCAGCAAATCCACATGCCCACTAACCACCTGCAACCTCCAGGTAACACAGCCTCAACTCGGGCATCCTTCTGCTCAGTACTCCTCTTTCACATGCATCAGGGCATTTTAGTCATTTTTTAACACAAGTAATTATACTCCATTTACCTTCACATTTTTTAATAACTAAAACCTGTTGCAACATAATATTATAATATTGGCTAGAAAGCTGCACACTGCTATTGACTTATTGAGCAGTACATTCACTATTAGACAGCATCAGACTGGGAGTGATGGGGAGCTATTGGCTGCTACTGATGAAACAAAGCAAACAGCCAAGTTACCAAAAACTCCTGACAATTTCTAACAAATTCCCACATAGGCAATGAAGATCAAGCAGTAGTTTTACTGTCATCCGTTTTGTTTTTTTTTTATACTGGAAGTCACTTTCATATGTCCACCGAACAAAGCACAGCAAAGTTACCACTTCAAGAACACAGCTGAAACCATCTGAATTGCATATTAGGTCCCCTCATGATTTGCTTCTAAGAACACCTGTTTCATCTTCCCTGCCCCCTTTCACAACTCACGTGAGAACACAGGTTTTCCAGCACATATCTATTCAGGACCATCTCACTAACGAGCAAACAAAACACAGTTCTCTTAAACAAGAAGTTGCAAAACATTCACTGGTTTCATACAGAGTACTTAACAACTATCTTCAGCAAAGTACCAGTCCCTCCTCTTTCTCCTCAGTCCAATACTTCCTCACACCAACGTTTTTCTTTTGTATTACTACAACAGCCAACTTTGATGACTCCCACATACGTGCTTGGTTCCAATCCTCACATACAGACAAGAACAGTTTTCTCAGAATCTCTTGCCACATCGAACACAGGTAAAAATGCATGCTCTGAAGGAATCCAATCCCACACATTCTTCTCCCTTCATCAGAAATATCTCAGACAGACTTTGCCTTTTATTTTTTAATTCAAATAGTCTGAGTATTCCTTAGATGGCAGAGCCATCTACAAACAACCCTGGTTCTGTCATCCCGCTCTTCCCACTTGCACCAATTATCTTTTCAACATCTTTCCCAGGGTTCTCAGCTTTCTGACATTCTTTCTTAATACAAACTACACATCACAGCCATATGAAGCAAGTGTGTGGGATGTATGTTAAACGAATGATCATACACAGGGATGAGCTGTCCGAGTGTCCCTCTGAAGAAATATGCAGTGTGATACCTATCTTAGGCTATGTTTCAACTTAATGAGCTGTGAAACAAAAATCAACATCAAGCAGTGAGGTTTATAGAAAGAAAACCACCAAACCTGTATGTTTGCAGTCATTTCTTCCCTGTTGAAGCATTTTATTATCCCTTTCTTCTACAATTCTAATACTGTCCGTGAAAGCTAGTGCAAGTTTCAAGCAATTATTTTCCCACCAACATTTTACTTTAGAAGAAAACCCTCTTACTGCCAAGAGTATTGCTCATCCTCTTGCACTAAATTTTTTACTTTCTCTTAAGGCCAGACACGTTTCTGGAAAGCTGGCCAGCGTACAGACAGAAAGAAAAGCAGGCATGCTTGATATATGGATTCCTAGCACTGATGCAGTGTCTCCTAATCACAGCTCTACAGCAGCCAACTTTAAAAATCACATTCAACAACCTCAAGCCACCTTCACAGGGAAAAAAAAAAAGATAGCTGTTATACCAAGCAAGCTTTATTCTGAAAAAATACGTGCATTCCTGTTACAGAACAGAGAAGTGCAATCAGAGCTCTAAAAGAGTAATTAATTTCCAGGTCAATAGATCTCGGTGCTAAACCAAACCAGTCAGCGCTGTCAAGCTGCCACGGAAACCATCACAGAAAACACAGAGCTGTTAAGGGACTATAACGTGATTTTTAACCTCTCACTGAATGTACTCAATTAAAGCTTGTGGCTTTGCTTTGGTCCACAGGAGAGAGGTAGGAGAATAAAAAAAATAAACAAACACAGAACTCTCTTTTTGCAAAAAGTGATAAAACAAACAAAAGAAATCACTCATGAGACAAACCTTTTAGCCGTAAATACAAAAATCCAAACTAATGTATTACTTCCGTACAAACGTGTGCAACATCTGGGATGTAAAGTAATTGCAAGCAACAGAAAAAGTCTGAAGTAGACTGATTTTACTGCTTCAGAAAATGAAAGAGAAATTACGCAGGCGGCTGCACCGTGCCCTTACAGCACGGGCTGGAGAGCAGAGACCCCGCGGCAGCTTTTCCCGAGCAGCCTCCCCCAAAGCACCGCCACTCACTTAGGTTTCGCTTTCCAAGCCCTAAGCGCAGCAGCAGCTCTCAGGCACGGGGCAGCGCCGCACCCCGCAGCAGGTGCAAAGCCTCCGAAGGAGGAGGCGAGGCCTGCAACCCCAGGTGTGTCAGCCCACAGCGACGGGCCTGCCGTCCTCCCTGAAGTTTGGGGGAGCTCAAGGAGACCACGGCCAAGGAAATGCGCCTTCCCCGCTGTCAACGGGTTTAAAGGAAAGAATAAATCTCAAAATGCCAGAGCAAAACTGCTCCAAGCCCCGGATACGTGTTAGATTAAATAATTAAATAACGATTAAAAAACCCCGAGCGCCGGGTCCTGGATCGCCCCGACGGGAGAAGCGCTCCTCCCCCTCCCCCCGCAGCCCTACCGCCCCCAGCCCGGCCCCGCGCCTCCCGGACGGCCCCGCGCGGAGGCCCGAGCCGCGCACGGGGCCGGGCGCCGGCTACACGCGAGGAGGCACCTACCAGCTGCTGCCGGACCCACCGCAACATCCCCGGCGCCGCGGGTCGCGACCCCCCGCGGCGGGGCTCCCCGGGCAGCGCCGCGCCCTCCGCCGTCACTGCCGCCGCCTCAGGCCGACCGCCCGCCGCGGCTGCCCCCCACGGCACGGGGGCCCGAGGCCGAGGCAGGAGCGGCGCAGCCCCCCCGGCGCCCCGCGGCCGCCATCACAGCGCCGCCCCGACACCCGCGGCTCGCGGCGCTGCGGCCGCCCCCGGGAAGTGACGTGTGCGGCGGGAGCGCGGGGCGGCGCTGCGGTGCGGGAGGAAGAGGCGGCTGGCGGTTGGCCGGGCTCGGGGAGCCGGTCGTTCTTTCTGTAGTAGAGCGCGAAGCTTGCTTTTATCTTTTTTCCTCTTTGTGTTCTTGTAAAAAATCGCACGTGCTGCAGCAGTGAAATAAAGAGTTTGAAAAGGGTCGGTGTGTTTATGCAATCTGCCCAATGACGGCTGGTTTAAACATACCAGCTGAGCACCGTGTGCTGTACGCACCTGTGCCAGGAGGGTCTGGCACTTGTCTCTGCTTCTGGCAGCATTATGCTGAACTGCTCTTTGGTTGAAGTTGGCTGTCGAAATGCGTGACCTCTTCCATGGTTTCCATTTTGCACTGGGAACAGCAACCACTTGCAAGAACAGAACTGTGCTCACCATCACAGATCACAGAATGGCCTTGGTTGGAAAGGACCTCAAAGATCATGAATCACCAAACCCCCTGCCACATGCAGGGCCACCAACCTCCCCATTTAACACCAGACCAGGCTGCCCAGGGCCTCATCCAACCTGGCCTTGAACACCTCCAGGGACGGGGGGCATCCACAGCCTCTCTGGGCAGCTGTTCCAGCACCTCACCACTCTCATAGTAAAGAACTTAACTTGGCTTTGAACATCACTGAACACCAGTGCAGGCCTGCAGCCTCTAGGCCAGTGTGTTAGGGATTAACAGAGATCGCTGTAAGCAGAAGATACATGGGCATTTGCAACCAAATTGTTGCCACTAAGTTGGAAACAAATCTGACACTGACTCAAAGAGGCATCTCGCACAGTGTGAGGAGCGGAGTGCCGCTCCTGCCACCCTCCTTTGCTTCCTGGCACTTGTGGCAGGCAGCAAGAAATCACAGCCATATCTGCTTCTGTGGAACTTAGCGATCAGTTAGAAATTTAGGACATAATTCAGCCTTTAAGATGGATGATAGAATGTCTGAACAATGGAGTCTTGTGGTGAAGGCGGATGGTTTAAGCATCTGTGTTTAATTAGACAAATACCTTTAAAACAGTAGGAAATAAGGCTGTTTTCATTGGGTGGCTCTGAAAGCTAATGTTAGCAAAACTGCATATTAAATGCTAGCCATTATTTCAAAACATTTAAATACATCAAAGCTGAGTTTCAAACAGCTTGCATTACCCTATTCATCTAATGTGAGTCTAAAATAACAGAGTGATTTCATAGCTGTGGCACGCTGCCTGGAGAGCGGCCTTGAGCCAAAGCCTGGCTGATACATTCGTTCTGCTCCTCCTTCCCAATAAGATGTAAGCAGCATCCCAGCCACCAAACACCAAAAATCACATGCCATTTCTCTGAAGTGGAAGTATATTTGTTGCCTATTTCAGATGCAAAGTGCACCTTCTGCAAGGCTGTATTTCCATTGCTTGCATTTGTTACATAAAGCTACTTGGCGCTGCCTGCCCCACATTGCTGCCGTGGTACTATTGCACTAGACAAAGCCCAAGAGCAATTTACAAATGATTTGATCTTTGTGGTTTATATATTCCCTTCAAAAATACATATTTTAGAGGATGAAACTGTATGGATGGGATGTAACTCTTTTTCTGTGTGCCACAGAAGGCTCTGACCCCATTACTTTTCCAATATATGGCAAAATTCTATTAGAATAGCATGGAGTTCTTGCTAGTAAAATTCTGCATCTTTTAAATTGCTCCAAAGCTCATGCTGGATGTTTATGAATTTTTCTGTCACTCTTGAGAACAAAAATCATTTTGAGGAGAAAAAAACCTGAAGCAGAACAGCCAGCTTAGATATTGACTCACCAATAATGCTCCAGTGCTTTTCAAACTGTCCTGAGAATAACGGTTCCCACATCTGAGATTCCACTTTAACATATTGTCCTGACATCTCACTTGAATTAACACAGCTGAATTACACACAGAAAAAGCAACCGCAAAAGAAAAACTTAACCTTCTGATTTTAAAATTAGGCTAAGCTCATTTCCTAAGCTTTCTTGATCAGACTCCAAGCTTTCCTGTTAAGTATCTATAAGAGCAATGATTTCAGATGTTTGTTTAGCAAGATGAGGACACAAGTGTTGCCTGATACAAAATATGTATGCAAATATAAAACCACACACAAATATTAGGTCCTGCAAGCTTTTAATTATATGTGCATGAGTAATTCTTATGTAATCGGTGGTACTACATTTAGGTTTTTAAAATTAAATATTGGTAACCACAAAATCATTGCCTGAACATGCAGCCATGGATCCTTTTCCCTCAGCATACTTTTGCACAAGGCTCTCATGTATTTTGACTATTTTTGAGAGGTGTGTTGGGGCTGTTCTTCAGTGAGTGAGGTGCTGGCATGCTGAATGGCCCCGAGTCTGCAGTGATGCACAGCGCTGATGCCAGGGGGTGAAAAAAAGTAAAGATTAGGAGCAGGGATGTCAGTGTAGCAAAAAGCAAGTATCAGCTCCTTACAGTTCACTGTTTCCCTGGTGGAGAATTCCTATCAGTCATTACTTGTTTTTAATTATTTTGTCATTTCTTTAAATAAGTAATTTAGTCTACGCGTCATTTACTTTGGTAACTATGCTGCTAATTAACAATATATGCTAACTATAAAAATGCCCATTTTGTTTCTAATCCATAGTGAAAAAGAGCTGCCTGAGAGACATGGAGTTTCTTCAAGGCATCTCTATTCCACAGGCATTCAATTACTGGCTGAAGCACCAATTATATAGAGATAAGCAGGGGCTTATTTTCAGTCACAAGGCCCTTCATCTAAACACACATGTGGATTCTAGCCTAGAGCAACCAGTCTTCAGGGAAAATGTAAGAGTCTTAGAAAATGAACTGAGCTTTTTAAAGGAAAACCTTGTGTGTAATTTGTTATTCCTTTTTTGTTCCCTGCAAGAGATAAGATCAGATTGAATTACAGAATGCACATCCTAAAAGGGGATGTTTCCAGGACTGTTAGTAGATCTAAACATCAGCACATTATTTTATTTCTTTTTGCTACCTGTACACTCAGTTACTAACTGGATCTAACATACAACCTCAGCTTTCTATTTTTGAAGGATAAAACTCTGGTGAGTTGTTCATACAACACACTTTTTTTTTTCCTTTCCTTTTTTTTTTTTTTTTTGCATACTTTTTTTTTTTTCCTGCTTTATAGGATTTAAATTAATGCCACTGGGTGTGAAATAAAAGATTGAATTCCTAGAATAAAAACACATAAACGCAGTTACAAGTATGTTGGTCTCTTGACACTGCTCTCCTAGGGCACTGCCTTGACTACTGCAACGCAAACACTGGCACACCCAGGTTTGTTAATTTGGAAAGCAGTAAGCATAAAGAAATCTTTATGGGAAAGGATCAAAGAAATTGTTTATGGCCGTACACATTCTCTCTTGGTTTAACAGTAAAATAGTGTAACTTCTACTAATTAGGATATTGCCTGGGTAGTAGGAGATGGGATTTCAAACCCTTCAAGTAGAGGTTGAACACCTTTGTTTCCTATATCCTGGAGGACTGTTCAAACTACTGAATTTGACAGAGTTTTTTTAAGAGCACCTTCTGGTTCAAAGCATACAGGTCATGTGGAAAAAAAGCTTGGTTTCTAAATCTCAGTGGGATTTAGATACAAAGAATGTTTGTTACAACGAAGGGTATATCTACGCTATGATTTTCTGTTTCCAGAATTCAACTTTTTTACTATTTGAGCTCATACAAAGCTAGCTCGGATGTTTCTATATTATATTCACTCAAATTACTCAGTAGATACTGGTCAAGTTGTTCCTTGCCATGCTGCTAGCTGGGTCCTAGCCAACTCTTCAGGCTCTTCTCTCACCTCATCCAGGATAAAAGCAAAACCATTTGGGAGTGCCTAAATTCATCTTTCTCCCTCAACTCCTCACTATTTCAGCAAATGAGGAGATAAGGATACACCCAAAGTAGGTGAGTTTATCTGTTTCTCAAGAGTGTGACAGATGACTAACTCTAGACGATGACTAACTCTTTACCTGCTTAAGCCTTAAAACCTTAAAAAAAATAGTTACTGTCTTCCTCAGGCACATCCATGACAGGGCTCCAGTAGGTCTGGAGTTAAGCAAATGCCTCAGCAAACAAGGCACAGACAGCTTGGTGCAGTAAGGAAAATTTCAGTGCCTCATCTAAAACTGATACAGTCACCTTGGGTTTCAAAGGACAAAATCAAAGATCTTTGCCAATGTTGGCTGTGAACACAAGTTTCAGATGTATCAGTGGATGTGAGAAGGCCTCACAGATCAGACAGAATCACCAGCTTGCACTTATTCAATACTAGAGGCTGTTTGGTATTGTAACAGTAAAAACAGATTTTTCTAAAAGAGATACAGCAAAAGGATTTATCAGCAGCATTTGCCAGACAAAATAACTGGCAAAAATGCTTCTTCCTTCCATTGCAGTGTTTACAGTAAAGTTTTTGGCACCTCAGAAACTGTAAATGAATCACACCACTCACTGGTATTTGCTGTGGGACCTATTTGCATCTCAGAATGAATATCTGCAGTTCCTTAAGCGCACTGTGCTTAAAGTGCTAATGTGTGCTTATAACACCATGTATCTCCAGGCAGATCTCCCAGGATGTGTAGGTGCACCCACCACCTCCCTCACCCTGTTTGGACCCTGAGAATGCTCACAGATGTTCATGGACCTCAGCAGCACTCCCAGAGCCTCTCCCCATCCTGCCCATGAGCCTGGGGGCTCCATTTCAGCTCAGCGTGGGGCTGTACATCGTTCCCCAATGACACCACAGGATATCAGTCACCAGCCTTGCTCAGCCATGGACCTATGGGACTGGACCCTGACCTTATCCCATCCTTGACACCATAAATGGATGATCTGGATAAATG